AACCTCTTTGGCACCTGGCTTGATGGACAACCTCTTTGGCGCCTGGCCCGGTGTTTGTGCGCCAGCACTAGTAACTTGGCTGCTTGGCAGCTGACATTGTGTTCGTCCTACACCGGCGGCAGGCACCAGAAGCATTTGAGCAGTGCTTTTGCAAAAGAATCTTCAAAGCGAAGGTGCTTTGTAGGCCATTTGGAATTTGCCTGCCTTGATCTCAGTTGACCTTGGGAAGATGGCAGAAGAGGCTTTGCGATGGACGTCATGTCAATAGCCCTGGCGTCTTCAGATTCAAACGGGCCCGAGACGACGAGAGCAACATCTGGGTCCGATATCATGATGGCTGCAGTGCCCAGTGCGTAGCAGCAAAGGAATGAGCAGCTGCTTTGTTCAAAGCCGAGACACTGGCAGCCAGGTGACGGGGCTTGATGCTATCCAATTAAAAAAATACGATGTGACTTTGAGTACCTGATCATGATGATGATGACGACGACGATGATGATGATGATGAGCACCTGATGATGATGGTGATGATGACGTTCACCATGTTGGTGTTGCTGCTGCTGGGGTTAGGCTTGTATTTACTAGGTTTGGGACCTGGAGCAGCAGTCACCACAACACACTTCCTGCTAGTATGCTGGACAAAATCACTTGTGCCTTGCGGTTGGGGCCTAGGTAAGATTACGCAGCCGAAAGTTGCGCTTTCGGTCTTATCATGTACCACCTGTACAGACACCGCCCTTGATTCCCTTAGAGGCCGAGACAGTGACAGAACGTGGCATGTTGTTTGAGCTTTTTGGGAGAAAAACAACCAGGTCTAGTGAGTCCACAGTGTTCCGTGTTTCTGAGGTTTGGATGGGACTGGGACTGGTTTTGCTGATTTTTTTTCATGCTCCATCATGCTCCCCATGGGGTGAAGCCTCTTTGGTGCTGGTCATAGAAAGCCACACGAAAATAACAGACATTAACAGACTATATGTACAGTGATCCCCACTCAAATACGGATCCCTTTCCGGGAAGACCTGGAAGACCATGATCCGCACCGAGACCGAGGCGCAGCTCGCGCTCGCGCGCGCTCACGGTGGCTGAACAGGCGAAGCTCTCCTTGGAGGTGCCGCGACGACGCGCACGAGCTCCGTTTGGAAGGGGTGTGTGGGGTGGGTGGGTTGGGTCTAACCATTGAACCTGAGGAGATGGTTGGATCATGTTGGATCCCTAATACCTTCTCAGGTTAGGTGATTGGAGACACTGTTATGTAGGTGCCAGGGGAACCTGAGAAGGTACGACTGGATCCCTACAAATATGGATCAAAGGCTATGGTTGGAATCAATGTGCATGGAAAACAGTGATCCATGTCCACTGACTACTAGTTGTCTATATAGTGGAAAGTGCCTTTTGGGAAAGCCCAATCACAGACACTATAGATTTTTTTGGTGGAACATCGTCAGTTTGTAGCGAAAACTTGTTTTTCCTGCAGGCTGCAGGCCATGCTTGCGGTAGGATGCATTCTGCGCAGTGATCGGCGCACCAAGCTTACATGAGCCAAACAGAAGGAACGCAATCCAATGGGACAACGGTTTTCCAGGTGCCGACTATATTGTAGGTGGCTATGGCTATTTGTTTGATGCCCGCATCATTTGATCCAGCCCCTTCCCTTAGGATCTGTGAAACATGGTTAATAATAGTTTAATATGTATTTAACTAACAAGCAGAAGTAATGTAGACTCTTGATTAATAACCCCCCCTTTGAAGAGGATGTCCAATTCAAACGAGGAGGGGTGTATTAATCAAGAGTCTACAGCAGTCTACATTATCATATTTTGGGGTTGTCCCGTATTCATGCCTTTGGACCCATCCAAGGATAAAACACATGTTTACACCTTCTCGGCACCTGCGCTTGCCATCCCGAAAGCACAGGCACTGGAAGCGCAGGCCTGGAAGCGCACTGGACTGTGTGCAAGGTGCTTTAAGTGCCCGTCCACAGACACTCCATGTGACTGTCATATATTTCTACATGCATTGGTGTATATATTGGCGTAGTTTCATGGGTTGATCTTGCATGTATTTTTCCATATCCGTGATTGGGCAAGTGTGCTACTAGCTTCTTGCTCTATAGTAGTACGGCCAGGGGCCCCGCACCGTTCGTCGCGTCCGATCGCTCCGTTCGGAGCACCGTTCGTAGCGTCCTTGTTCCTACCCCCGCTATGGAGTGTTTGGGCAAGTGCTTCGGTACACCTCTTCACACCGTGTCTCCCGCCCACGACCGACCGTGACTGGCGAGTGAGTGCCGGTCCACCAACCGGGGGGAGTGCCGAGCGCCGAGCGACGCGTCATGAGCCACAACCATATGAGCCACAACCAACAGTTGGACATCCACGGAAATCCGGTAGATGAAGCCAGGATGTTAAGAGTGACCTCCAGGGGCTTGGCACCGGGCTTCCAGTTTCTCCAGTGACCCTGCGCAGAGGAATGGAACATCTCCTTCATGTCGACCTGAACAAAAACACCACCCTCGGAAGCATCATTCCAGTGCCGGGTGTTTCCAGCGCTTGACCTTCGGTGGCGCCGCTCGAGGCCGGCACTCCGAAGAAGTCTTCGGTGCAACAGCTGCCGCTCGGTCGACCAGTCAGTTTGGGTCGGCGTTGGGAGGTGAACGCTGTCCGACCGTGGATCCAGTGGTGTTCGCGGAAAACATGCCATGCCGATTCCCAGACACGACCGATGGGACTGCCATACATGCCTTACATTGGTCAATGTAGGCGTATATGGCAGTCCCATGGAGGGTATAGAGGATTCCCAACCTGGACTATCGAATGTGCATGGATGATGGATGAGTTCCATGGATGGGACCTGAATGATGGGCGTATTATATGACTATTAGTATATGGAACATGCGTGGATGGTTTGGGGCAAGAGTCCACCAGGGCTCATTCAAGCTGTTGAACCGCTGGTGAGATGGGCATCGCTGATCTCCCGACTCTGACACTCCATGGGACTGGCAGATGTTACATACATTGGGTAGTTTCATGGGTCAATGTATGTTTCATGGGTCAATGTATATATTCTAGTCCAGACAGGTCGCGTTTGGTCAGGTCAGGCGGATCGGTTTTGGCCACTTTTTTCCGCTCCCAACTCTGATGCGTCCATTCGGTTCGAAGTCGAAGTACATAGACCTCATTGCTGCAGGTTATATGGCCATTGGCCATGGGTCAAAAAATGGAGCTCCAAAGCCTGGAAGGGTTGACTTGGCCCACTGGACATGATTCCCAACGTGTTGGTTTCGCCCTGACTTGCTCCGTCTCCACGTCCAAGTGGACTTGGACCAGTCTTGTTATAATTGTTATACAGTTGATGGCCCCTCACCCTCTCACATCTCACATGCTCCAAGGAAGGAGCTGGCCCACCGCAATGGCTGCAGCAGCGCCCTTCGAGCATCTCAGAGTGTCATTTGATTTGTCACATTCCAGTTTCCTGTTTGGAAGGATCCTAACCTGGCCAGATAGCCTCCTCAAAAATCCTGCGCCCTTTTAGAGATGAGCCTTCATGATAGTTCCTTCTTGAAGAATTTAGGGTTGGAAAGACCCAGAACCAACAGATGGTAAGTGATCTGAACTAGGACCCTATAGGACCCTGTTAAAGGATCCCCCTTGCACAGGTCCTTATGAAATGGGGATCCTGGTGACCTATAAAATGACTTTTGCAGGACTCACTTCATAAAAAGCACAATGTTTCCGGAAATCGGAACATTTGAAACACGATGGAACCCACGAACCCGAATGCAAACACGTTCGAAAAACTACATATGTCCAAATGACACTCTTGTAGGACACTCTTGTGGGACACTCTTCTGGGACACTCTTGTAGGACACTCTTGTAGGACACTCTTCTGGGACACTCTTGTGGGTCACTCTTGTAGGAAACTCTTGTTGGACACTCTTGTAGGACACTCTTGTGGGACACTCTTATGGGACACTCTTGTAGGACACTCTTCTGGGACACTCTTGTAGGACACTCTTGTAGGACACTCTTCTGGGACACTCTTGTAGGACACTCTTCTGGGACACTCTTGTAGGACACTCTTGTAGGACACTCTT